GGGAGTAGCTCTCGGGTTACGTCTGGATTTCGCATGGAATATTCCACATGCGAATTCAAAATCCTCGGTTTGTGTTAAAAGTGTCTAAAAGCTGGCCACTAAAGTACGGAGGCCTCGTTAGATGATTTCAAGGCATTCGAGAATATATAAAACACGGAACTTTTTTCAAGTTTGCCAAAAGACTCCTCCCGTAAGAGATATTTATCGTAATGTCCATTCTGTTCCAATTGCATTCTGTTCCAAATGTCTGTTATTCTTTAATTTGCTTAATGTAATACGTGTTTATCTCGTAACATTGATATTCCTTCGTCATATCATCTTATTTAGATACTATTAATAATATTGACACCATAGCCTTTAATAAAGAGGAAGTTTCGACGAATATCGAGCTGTGACTTTACAATTTTTATTGCTTATTTCATACCAATCTTACTTTGACTATACTTTGTACAAAAATTTGTTTTACTAATTAATAAACTATACAATCGAATTTTGTATCTTAACTTTTTTAACTTGTTGTTTGTGCGAATTTTATAACCGACTTTTACATGCCTTTTTTATTATTTATATTGTTAATTTGACATCAAGAGTTGTATTGACTAATTTATTTTTAATAAACTACAATGCTTGTCCATTACTCCTTTTTTTTTATTCACTTTATCTTTTTTATCCATATATGTATATTTAGAAATATGTCTTCTCTGTGATGCCGTTTTTATTAATTTTGATGAGAGAATCGATGTTTTAATGATAATTTATGCTAAAAGCGTGGTATCTCGAGAAAAGAATGCATAAATATTCTTTTCTTTGAATAAGAGGTTTATTTTCACACGTCATTGCCTCACACACGTAATAACTAATGGACCACTTTTATTTATTTTCTCTAATAGACGGCGTGACATTATGTGCTTTCGCAGAGAAACTGTAGTATTATAATGTGGCTTTAAATCAGCCAATATCGACGTGCGCATAGTGAAGAAAACGTTTTCCGTAGATCTTTTTTGATATGATAATATCAAAAAAGGATAAAGTCCATGTTCGTAGGAAACATTAACATAAGTTTTGATACGCGAGATGAAAAAGTGGAATCATCTGTCATCTTGATCTCGTCTGATGAATAACAAAATGACAGAAAAAAACCTCAGGCAATTTTTTCTGGCTTTGTGACTGAATTTGTATTACAAAAATAGCACAATGCCGATATTAATCTTTTACATTACTTCTAAATTAACGAATTTACATATTATACAAATGAAAGAATTTTATCGATATTCAGTATATTCTTTCACTTATCGATTAAATTTCTTTTGAAATATATATTTTTTTCATTTATGCAATTAATAACATAAACAATTTAAAACTTGTTTTTAACTTGTGAAAGAATGAAAAAAATTCGGTGAATTGCATGTCATGAAATCTTTTTGTAAATTCCGAGTGACATTATTTACATACAAATAATTTTTTTCGTCTGAAAAATATTTCGTAAAATATTTGTATTGTATAATATAATATATAAATATAAATATATATATATATATATATATATATATATATA